TGTTGAGGTAGCGAATCAAGGATTCGAGGTAGCTTCATTGACCTTCGCAGTCCTTTGAAGTCCTTTCCTTTTTTGTACTGTCATTTTATTATCCGAATTGTGTTGTACATTTGAGATATTCCTATGTATTCAGTTAGATCTTATGACTCTGTACTACCTACTTCTTGGGAGTGATATTGAGTATTGTCACTTTGGCTTGTATTACTTTTATTCCCGCATTTATGCTAAGCTCTATTTTTATTATAGCATGCTTTATTGTTTTAAATAATGTTTAGCGATCGGCTTACTTAGTTTTAGAAATTAGGTGCCATCACGACCCCGTGGAGGGATTTGAGTCGTGACATAGTTTAAGTGATCACGAAACTACTGATCAAATAAGCACAACACGAGGATATAAACGCAAGAGAAAGCATAACTCTACCGATAATCAAGTATTCCGCCAAAAATTAAAGTAACAAGGCTCGGTCAACTATGTAAGTTCTAGTATCAAGCACAGTCATGAATTCAAGTATTTAAACAGGAAAGATTAATTCAAGTAGTACATTAAGGCATAATGTAAATCTAAGTCTACCCGGACATAATGAAGAATCTAACTTACGTACGGACGCTCGTCACCTTGTACGTGCGTAAATCTAAGTCTACCCGGACATAATCAAGAATCTAACTTACGCACGGACGCTCGTCACCTCGTACGTGCGTAGCTCCCATAGCAAGCAGCACATAGCAATTAGAAACCTACGGGGGTAAATTGATCCCTCTTACAAGATTAGACAAGAAACTTATCTTACTTCCAAATTTAATAATTGGCTCCAACACCTTACTAACACCTCAAATCAATGCCGAGTGACTCGAAACTAGCCAAAAGAACGTGAAAACTAATCAATATATACTCAAGAACCCATAATTTAATTATTAGAATCAATTCTCAACCCCCACACAGAAAGTCAACAAAAGTCAACCCCGAACCTAGGTGCCTGGATTTAGGAAATGTTTAAAGCTAAATATTACCCATAGCATCACGAACTCAAATATATTATTTATTTTCAATTTCATGCCTTATTTCGTAGTCAAATCCTACCGATTTTAGATTTTTCAACCCAAACCCTATAATTTCTACTAATTGCCATGTTAAAATCCACATACAATCCATGTATTTAGCTTACAACAAGTAGGAATCACTTATCTAGTGATACTTGATGAAAATGTCTCTTCAAGAAGTTCCCAAATAGCCCAAGCCAAGAGAAAATAGGATGAAATGAGCTAAGTCCTGAAGTTAAATCTTATATTCTGCCCATGCATCCTTCATTTTGATCGCGGAAGAACCCTTGCTATCGTGAAGGCCAACGCTGCCCCTGCCCTGTCCTACCTCTTTACATTTGCGGGCTCACACCCGTGTACATAAAGGCCACTACCACCCAACCCCTCGCATTCACGGTTTCCCCTCCCAAGTTCGCGAAGGCCACTGCCACCCAACCCTTCGCGTTCACGGTTTCCCCTCCCAAGTTTGCAAAGGCCAAGTCCTGCCAGCCCCCTCCTTTCTTCCCTTTTTTGCGTTCGCATAGGCTCCTTCGTATTCGTGAAGAGTAGCCAGGTCCTTCACTGTGTTCGGGGGGCCTACTTTGCATTTGCGAAGAGCAACAGCTTCCCCTCAAAAATTTCTTCATCCTGATCGCGGACCTCCTTCGCGATCGCGAAGCATACCATCACCAACAAAAATTTGCCAACTTTGAACATGCTCCGGATGGTCGAAACTCACCAGAGCCAACCGGGATCCCGTTAAAATATACCAACAAGTTCAAAAATATAATCTGGACCTGCTCGAGACCTCAAAATACATAAAATGACATCGCAACCAAGAATCGAACCCCAAACCAAACTAATCAATCTTCCAACTTTCTATCTTCTTTCAACTAACTCCGAACGCAACGAATCATACTTAGACAACTCGGAATGGGACCAAATTTCACATACAAGTCCATTATGATAATACGAACCTATCACCATGCTTGGAATAACCAAGGGATCCGATTTTACCAGAGTCCACTCCAAGTAAAACTTAGCGAACTATAGAACCTTCAAAATGCCAACTTCCAATAATAAGTGCCGAATCGCTCCCAGATCATCCGAAAACTCGATCCGAAAATACACCCAAGTCCAAAATCACCATACAAACCTGTTAGAACCTTCAAATCCTGATTCCGAGGTCTTTTACTCAAAGTGTTGACTTAAGGCAAACTTCGCCACCTTAGGCCACTATTATAGAACTAAGTGTTCTGAATTCAACCCAGACCCTTCCAAAACCAAACCAATCGTCCTGCAAGTCATAAAACAGGAAAATTACGGAAAATTTTAAGTAGAGGAATGGGGTTCTAGAAAGCAAAATGATCGGTCTGGTCGTTATACCAAATTTACGTAACATTTTATGTTGCTTTTGATACTATTTTGTTATGCAGTGTTTGTATATTTAGTAATATATTTAGGAAGAATCAAATAAATTGACGGACTATGGTCTACTGGGACATCTTTATATGGAAGTGTCAAATTAACCCTGAACTAGGCGAAATAGTCCAGATTTTTACCACTAGTATGTAGTGATTGTTTTATGCGAAGATTGTTTAGCATGTGGCAAAAATAGTTAGTAGTAGATTAGCATGAGGCAAAAATAGTTAGTATAGTAGATTTTGTCAACAATAAGTCATTTATTCAATATCCCCTTGTAAAATATACTTCATTAATTATAAATGTATCATTGTCTGCATGGGTGGACAAAAATGCCGTCTTAGAAGGGGCATTGAACCATGTTTTTCGGAGTCTACGCACGCGTAGGTATAACTATAAGGAACCTATTTCCCCTTTGTTTCTTAGTACACTATTTATAATTTAATAGTCTATCCATGTGTACAAAGGAAACCGACAAACTGCACCAATCCAATAATTCGAGTCAAACCGAGAAAAAAACCCGATTATGGTTTGGTATTGGAAAAAAAAACCCGACCATAATTGGTTTGGTTTGGTTTGGTTTGGTTTTAACTAAAAAAAGTCAAACCGAAACCAAACCAACCCGACATTATATGTATAGAAGTTTTAAATATATTTAATACATAAAAATATTTATTATAGTGTATAGTATAAATATTTCTTAAGCTTTTTCATAGTTTTATCTTTTCACGTATTATTTCAAGATTTTTAGATGCTCCAATAAGTTTTATAGTTCATAAATGTTAGTAACTCAAATAAATCCTAAACCAATATCCAATCAATACTAATGCTAATAAAAGACATTCAATTCAATTATANATAAGTTTTATAGCCATTAATATTAGTAAATTAAATAATGCTAACAAAAGCCCAAACCAAAATCAAATCAATACTAATGCTAACAAAAGACATTCAATTCAATACTACTAACGGGAATGTATTGAATATCTATTTTTTGTTTGCAATAAGTTAGATAAAAATACATAACCTATTTTTATTTTTTCTTTAGCGTTTAGTTATGTAATTAATACTCCCTTATTAGTCTACTTATTTTAGCATGACTTAGTACTTTTAGATTATGCTTATTTTTATTATGACTTTTTAATTAGCAATATTTATATTACATAATTTTATTGTCTTTATTGTTGAATATTTTAGGATAATGCCATGACACATCTCATATTTTGTATTATTTTCTTAGAAAGTACTTTATATAGTTGTATCTTACTAGGATTAAAGAAATATTTGAGCACAAGTTATATGTTTTGTTCTACGAAGATTTTACCGGAAAAACCCCCAAAAAAATTCGAATAACCCGAAAACCCAAGAAAACCTGAGAAAAACTGAGATTGAAAAACTCGAGTTTTATTGGGTTGATTTGGTTTTTAGATTTAATAACCCGACACAGTTGATTTGGTTTGATACTTGTAAAATCCGAACCAACCCGACCTATGTACACCCCTAGTAAGCCATATAAAAAGGAAGATCTGAGAAAAATTGAGCGTGGAAGGTTCACTGTCCAAAAATAAAAATAAAAATTTGAACTACTCATTAAATTAAATAGGGGCGAGCGCCCCATAAAATTTCTGCCAAATTGCCATTGAACATCGGCTTCTAAATACTTTCACCTCTTTGAACACAAGAAAATTCAATTCTAGAATAGTTTTTGAACTCGTTACTACACATAGTTAATCCAAGGCGATTATTTATATAAGACCACTTGGTGATTATATATATATATAAAGAACAAGATTTCCTCTCCCCATTATTAACAAGTGATTGGGTAATCAGTTCACTATTAAAATAAGACGTCTAAGTCTAATCTACGTTCAAATTATTTTTTTTGCTTTGGAGCATTTTCAATTTATTCCACAACTTCTAGATTGTGTTCGGTTGACTTTTTAGTACGTTAAAATTGTTGAAACGGCTAAATAAAGAGTTCTACATAGTTTTGATGCTTCAGCATGGGAATCAAACTATTTCATACACCTATTATACCAATCAGTAAACGATATTTTTATCCATAACAGTATGTTTGAATTTTTAATATGAGTAAAAACAAATTAGATGTTGTAACCAAAAACAAAAAAAAATGTAAACTTGGTTAGGTAAAAATAATTAAAGGATACAATGACAATAAAGTGGTTTCGAATCCTTGCGCAAAAATATAAAGGGACAGACCTATTATTCATTGATTTTGGTTCATTTATGCTCAGAAATTTCTTGATTATAAAAAGAGAAAGTAAAGAAATAATGCAAAAGTAAAGAATTAACGGGATACAATGACAATAAAGGCAAAAAAAAAGCCAATAATTTTAACAAAATCTGCTAGAAGCCAATCAAATCCATTCGGATATCCATATGTAACCAGTCACAAACAAGTGTGAAAAAGAAACATCTTTTTTTGTATTTTTCAAGAAAGTTTAAATGAATACAGAGGTGTATATTCATCTTTTTGCCTCTTGAATTTTTGAAAATTTGAAAATCTAAATAACAACGAGGAGTACAATATAATTCAAAAATATTTGGTATTATGTCACTGAAATTTGCCATTGAAGGAAGCAAAAGAAATTGAAAAGCAGTAAACAAGAGTGGGTCCCACCTTGGACCAAAAAGATTGTTTTCCAAAATTCTTCATTCTTCTCTTTCCTTAAAATTCATTTAAAATCAAATGTTGTCTCTCCCTCTCCTAAACTTTCTTTAATTTTTCCAAGATTTTCCATTTTTGGGATACCCAATTGGGAAATATTAACTGGGTAGTAAAGATCTTTCGCTATAGGGTTGATTTGGAGGGGCACCATAAACATGTCAATTTGGTTCTTTTAACTGTAAGTCACTGTTAAGTTGAAATCTTTAATAGCTTTCTGTTTTGCTGATTGTTAATATTTATTGTTTTTTAAGTCCATGATGTTTTTATTTTCTTTGATTAGGGTCTATTGTACAGATTTTTTTTCATGTTGATCAGATTGGACTTGGGGTTACTACCAATTCTCTTTTCGTCTTTGTGAATTAATCTTTTTGTTTACGGCATTGCAATTTGGTTAATGACTTCTTTCCGCTCTCTAAATTGTTTCGTATGTAAGTTCTTGGAGAATTTACAGTATATAAGTTCGAGGCAAACTTCTTAATGAATATAAGAAGAATCTCTTTTTCTTTTTCTTCTTTACTGACAAACTAATTCTGTTAATTAGTGATTCATGAAGAAGTGTTGATATTAGAAAATCTAGGACAGCTTTAAGTTTTCTAGATTTTCATTGGCGGCTATTATTTAAACGAGTTGGCAGTGCAGGGATTTTCTTTTTTTCAATCTGTGTTACTTTTTGTCCTTTTTGTCTTAATCTTTTGCTTTCATTTCCTACCCGGACTAATTCGGATTTTTGTCGCATAAGGCCGCGGAGAAGCGCCAGTGTTATCAAAGGCGTGCTTAAAGTGCGCTTAAGTCCTGAAGCGAGGCTCAAAACATATTGAGCGCTTCGCCTAAGGCGTTTCAGCGTTGTCATCAAAGCTTTAAGGCATACTTTTCCTTGCCAATGAGCGTAATCCTGAAGATGCCACACTAAACAATTGATATTTCACTTTATTGTAATTTTTCTTCAATTTCTTAGTCCATATATTTGGTATTCATGCTTATAGATATTGGTTTTGGACTACACATACATATTTGTAGTTTTTCTCCATTTGCGCCTTTTATTTATGCTTTGCGCTTAAAGCCCCAATATACCTTAGAGCTTTCTTGCGCTTTTCGCCTTTGATAACGCTGGCGCTGCCTATATGGTTCTTTTCTATTCCAGGATTTTAACCCGAGATTATCCATCCCACCACAACCTTTGGTGGTCCTTATTATCATAAAGAAATATTTGTTTTTCTTGTATCGTGCAAATGGTTTTGAATGGGAAATCCCGATTTACTTCCTGCTCTTTAATTCATGGTAATTGGTATATAGGTTTGTGCCTAAAGCTAGAAATAATTGTAGCAACTGTTATCCTACTTATATACAAAAAAAGAGAATGATAGTAACTGTTATCCACTTTATGTTTTTCTTAATATAATGATTCAAGATCAAGATTACATCCCTGTTTGTGGCTAGTCATTGTTATACTGAAACCACCGAACTGTCATGCTATAATGTTTTGTTTTCTGTCGGTTCTATCATATTTATATCATTGTTTTGACAGTTGCGAGTGTATTCTTTTTCCTTAATGGTGTTTGTTCTTAGGAAATCTTTAACTGCTGATTGTGTTTGATTTGGACAACAAATTCTATTTCTTCATAATTTCCCGTAAACAGTTTTACATTTCCACGTTTAGTGTTCTGGAATTCAGCAATTGCATTTCATAAGCTGTTTACTGCAATGCCTATTTAGCAATTGAAGCTAAGCCTCACAAGTACCCTCTCCGTCCTATATCTTCATTTTCAGAAGCTGTTTGTTGCAATGCCCGTTTTGCTGTCGAAGCCTATAAAGTATCCCCTCCATTTAGAAAAGTTTGAATGTTTTGGAATAACTTCATATAAGATAAGAGTCAAAAAGATATATGATAATGGGTGCATTGATCATCATAAGTTCAAAATTATTGTGATTTAACTTGAAAGTAGTTCAATACTTGGCAATTGGACAACTGAAAAGAACGATTGCCTATTCCAAGCATGTCTAACGTCTTGTAAGTAAACTTTTTCTTTATTTTTCTAATACAACTCCAAGACAAGAGAACACACATGGCAAAAGTGATAGCGGTAATAGGGTTCAGAAGGGAGTGTCGTAAAGGGTGAGACGTGACTGGACTAGTGAGGAGGTGGGTAGAGCTTTTGTAGGTGGCGAGATACGCATGGTGGAATCTGGAATATGTGGGAGCCTGTCATATACTTGCTATCATTTTATAACACCCAGATATCCTCCTTCAGTTTGTTTATGTTCTATACTTCAAAAACTATGACATATAAACGTGGGACTTTCTTGGAAACTGGCCAATGAAAAAAAATTATAGAGAGAGCTTCTTATAGAACTTTATACATGGTGACGGCTAAGCGTTCTCATAGACTTGGTCGTCTTCATATGAAAGATTAGGTTGCCGCATCATATAACTCTTTTTTTGTTGAGAGGATGACTCTATTTTTGTTTGTTTAAGTTGTTCACTTCACATTATTGACTTGGCTGTGGTAAGTTTGCAGGTCTAAGATATTCCTGGCGTCCAATAAAATTTGTGTATACTGTGGTGCTCAATAAACAAAGCCCGGTGGAAGCATGGAAAAACTGGAAAGTGGAAATTCCTTAAAGTTTTGCAGGGATTCTGAACAATTGTGCCAATTTTGCAGCGGAACACAAGAGAATGCAAGTCGGATGATCAATCCAGCTGCTTCATTACAAAGCATAAACAGCTATGGCTCGTGTTGCAGTACGCTCTCCTTTCTTTATCTCATACTTTGACATATTAGTTACATTTATCATACACTTTAAGCTGATTCCTTATTTTGTGACCATTCAGGTGACTTTTCAGTTGATGCAAACACAGATGGGAGGTTAGTTGTAATTAGTTATGTTATTGTTTTTCTTAGGTGGAGGTTTAGTAGAGAGGCTGAGTGTTCTGGTTTGAATAATGAATGAGCCTACTTATTTTGACTTGATTCCCCTTTTGGCTTTTTATCAGGGTTTATGTAGATGCATGTAGTACAGACAGCAGTCAAGAAGATTCTAGTTCTGCTAAATGCATAGGAAGGGATGTAGAACTAATGAGAACTGGTAATTCCGAGGAACCCAAGGATGGTAGAAGGGAAAGATATGATGATGACGAAGCTGGAACCTCTTGTAATGATGAATTTGATGCCCAGTTCTGGCTGCCCCCACAACCAGAAGATGATGATGATGATATTGAGGGCAGTGTGGCTAATTATGACGACGAGGATGATGAATGTAGTGATGGTCGGATATGGGGCAGGCCAGCATCTTTAATCAGCTTCGGTGAAGAAGGTTTTGGTAGTTATAAGTTTAAAGAGGAAAGGCAAAAGGCATTGCAAGAAGTAATGAATGGGAAGCTTAAGGCCCTTGTTAGTGACCTTCTTAAATCTGTTGGTGTCGCCACTTCGGGGAAAGAAGGTGATAACTGGCTTGATATAATCACTTCCTTGTCATGGGAGGCTGCTTCATTTGTGAAGCCTGATGCTACAGAAGGAAAGATGAATCCTTTAGAATATGTGAAGATAAAATGCATTTCAACTGGTTCTCCCAGCCAAAGGTATCACTCTAGCCACTATTCCCCTATCTATGTTATACTTACTCCATTCCAAATTCATTCAAACCTAGGAAAATTAGATATTGGGCAGTGTTCATTCATCAATTCTCCTTTTCATTTGGTTTCCTCTGCCATGCATTCATTAATGTCCATTATCACACTTCTTCCAAAAATTGACAGTCTTTTGGAATTTTGAAAACGGAGGTACAACGGCATCTGAACAATTAGACTTCAAAGGGTTTTCAAAAAGATGACTAAAAATTGAAAAACATTACAAAAGGGCATGGTTTTCTATGCAAGACACCCAAGCTTCTATACATATAGGAACCTCGTATGGTCTACTCACTGTAACATGCAGTATGATTGTAAAATTTATAATGATAAGTGCTTATTCAAACTAAGACTTTGGGATGGAGGGATCACCAAATTCTCCAGGCTTAACGGATTTGTTTTTTGTAGTCGTTTTGTCAGGGGGCTGGTCTTTAAAAAACATGCTGCGCACAAGCACATGCCAACAAAGTACGACAAACCTAGGTTGCTTTTGATCCAGGGTGCACTAGGGCTCTCTTCAAGTGAGTTGTCATCATTTGAGTCCATGCAACAGGTAAACAACAATTCTGCGATGTGTCAAATCACCAAAATGAGCATATTCTTTGGCTAGTGATTGTCTTTTTTTGTTTATTTGTGTTACCAGGAGATAGATAGTGAGAAATCTATCCTCGATATGATAGAAAGATACCAACCGAATGTGGTTTTAGTGGAGAATGCTGTTTCTCGTAGCATACAGGAGTCTATTTTGAAGAAAGGATTAACTTTAGTCTTTGATATGAAACAACATCGCTTGGAGAAGGTTGCTCGTTGCACAGGTTCATTATCTGCTGATGTATTGGTTGGCCAAAAGCTCATGCAGTGTGATTCCTTTCATTTCGAAAAGTTTGTAGAAGAACATTCTACTTCTGGTGATGCCGGGAAAAAGCCTAGCAAAACATTGATGTTTATTGAGGGCTGTCCTACTCGTCTGGGATGTACAGTGAGTGTGCTTATTTTCTGTTTTGTTTTGATTGATGATTTCTAATGTGTTACTGATAGTGGGATCATGCATTTATCTGTTAACTTGTTCTGAATATAAGTTGGAAGGAGATGCGTCTTTCTCCGGTGCGCTACAAAAAGTATAGAATATTGCATTGTGAACCTTACAAATCTTCACTTGGTTGTGCTCATTAGCCATATTGTCAAATTCCTTGTTACATCTTTCTTAAGATTGATGCATGGCATAACTTATCGAAAAGAAAAAGATTGATGACATGGCATATACAAGGTGGCAATGAGTTTTTGTAACCGAAATAATTGGTGTATCATAATAAGCTTGTGTAATTGGATAATTAGTTATCGTCAATTGCTTTGAAATAGATTTCTTTTATAAGATCGGATTGCATTTTGAAGGAGGTTGTTATGCATTGATAAATAAGCATTCTGAATTTCACTTTGGTGTTATGACTCCTTGAAAAATTAAATACAGTTTGGCACATCGATGTCTCTCTTTGTAGTAACATTGTTCGTGCACATACACACTCAACAATTGCGGGAGCTGTTATACTTGGGAGTTCCTATTTGATGCCAGATTTTGACTGATGCTTCCCTTTCCTTTTTGTCTTGCTGAGTAAAACTTCAAACTATTTCTTAATTTACGAGTTTTCAGAAGATTTTGAAATTATAACATAACTTGTTAAGTTTATTTTCTTAGCTAACTGGTTTTGCTATTAACTATGGAGTTACCTTAATCTGGTACTGCCCAAATGACTAACCAAAAAGAACATCAATATTAACGATAATTTGACTCCATGAGCAATTGAAAAAAATGCTACTGAATTAGCCTGTTCAGGTCACATGGATTGTCTACTCGGTGTTTCCTTATCCCTTGTCTGCTACATCCGGAGCATTTAGTTGTTTGTCCACTGAATGTTAACTTTTTGGGCAGATTTTGTTAATGGGATCTAACAGTGTTGAATTGAAGAAGATTAAACGTGTAGTGAAAGATGATGCGATTGCCGTGGCGTACAATTTAATCCTAGAGACTTCTTTCCTCCTGGATCAAAAAGCAATGTTCTCAACACTTCCTCTTAGCCAGGAGGTGAATCTAACACTTGGTAATGAAACACCATCGGTTACTGATGGACAAGGAATTATATCTAATGCTGAGGAGCATGTCGCTGAAACCAGTTCATCCTCTACAGTTGATATTCCAATATCCAGTGGCTTCCGTGAAGAAATAAATCATAAGTTAGACACAGAAAGCGAATCTCTACCATATGAGCCATACAACCCAGTCGTTCTATCTGGATTATCATCTATCTCGTCCTCTGTCAGAAGGATTGTGGGGGATAAATTTCCTCTCTTCTCCACCTCTCGTCAATCCATGTCCTCATATCTTAGTTTTAATGGAGCCACGAAAGATGATCAGGGACAAGCTGATGTTCAAGTTTCTAATATGCCTGATTTGATTAATCATAATGATGCAGAACAAAAACCGAGTTCTAATGAGGTGAATGCACCTGAAAAGGAGCAATATCATACTCCACCTCTGCCGCAGGAAGAATCTTTGGAATCACAAGTATCTGGTGAAAAGCTTGAAGACCAAGAACATATGAAGGATGACATGGCATCGTCATTGGCTTCTGAGAGTATTTTGGTTCTGATGTCCCGCCGGAATGCTTCAAGAGGGACTATGTGTGAGCATAGCCGTTTTTCGCGGATTAAGTTCTATCGAGATTTTGATATTCCCCTCGAAAAGTTTTTGCAGGATAATTTGCTAAATCAGGTGCTTATAACTCAACTTTTCTCCACTTCAAACTCTTTCTTTGCATTAAGGTCCTTTCAGTTAAATTCACATCATTTGAGGTGGCTTTAATAATCCAAATCTATCTAATGGAATATCGCTGAAAGGGATTGCATTAATTTGTATTTTCTCGAGCTGGCAACATTTGCTTATGTTGTTCACAAAGAAGCTCTTTTTTCTGCAGAAGCAGTGCAAGACCTGTGGTGAATCCCCTGAAGCTCACATTTTTCATTATGCGCATCGCAACAAGCTCCTAACCATTCAAGTTCGGCATCTTCCCATGGACAAGGGTCTGCGAGGTGAACGTGAAGGGAAACTCTGGATATGGAGTCGTTGCTGTAAATGCAAATCCCAGAGTGGAAGCTCATTATCCACAAAAAGAGTGTTAATATCCACTTGCTCACGCGGTTTTTCTTTTGGAAAGTTTTTGGAGCTCAGTTTTTCAAATTCCTCTTTTTTTAGTCGACTGTCTCCCTGTGGTCACTCCTTTGATAAGGATTTCCTCTACTTCTTTGGGTATGACCACTTAACATAGTTCCATTTTCCTTTCTTTGTGAAGTAGTAGTTTGTTATATTTATACATTTGTATCCAGTGGCTATTTATCCATCAGAAGCTTCTATTTTTTACCCCCCCCCCCCCTTTCCCTTTGATCTGACATCATTATTTTTCGTATTGATCGTCAGATCTGTTTCTTATGAGATAAATAGCCATGTTGATTCATGAGGATTTTTATCGTATTTCATCTGTCCTCTCTGAAGATATTCATGTCATCCGTAAACATGTGCAGGTTAGGGCGAATGGTTGCTATGTTCAAGTACTCTACTGTAACTACTTATTCCGTGTTTCTTCCTCCCAAGGAGCTGGAATTTAGCAGTTCCGTTAAAGGAGAATTTCTTAAGCAGGACTTTGATGATGTATGTGCTCTTACGATTGTGGGATCCTGTTTTTATGTACCCATGCTTTTGTATATTTGGCTGAACATGGAATCTGCATGTCGTATTGTTTAAATTGACCTAGGATTTCTTTTCTTTCTTAAACTAGGTGCACATGAAAGGGATTATGATGTTTCTTGATGTAGAAAAAGCTCTGAAGGCAGTACAGTCTCGTCTTGGAACAGCGCTAAATCTTCAAGGATCAATTAAGGATTTTTCTGAAATTGAAAACATGTTGAAGGAAGAGAGATCTCAGTTCGAGGTTAGATACTTTCTGCTACCTTCTAGGATTTTACCTATTTTTATAGTATTTTATTTGATGAACCATGTTGGATTGAGGCATTGCCATGGTTGTATCTAAGAGAGATCTCAGCATGAGGTTAGTTCCCTTTTGCTGCTGTTCTAGGATTTAATTTGATCAACCATGGTGGATTTGTCCATCATAATTGAGTCTCTAAGTTTCAGTTTCAGAAACTTATTTTTCTTTTTCTCATATATGGATTCTATTTCAGGTTGACATACAAAATGTAGTTAAGAATGGGAGTCAGGATGTTGTGGTTTATAAATTTCTAAGCTTGAACAGAATACGACTTGATCTTCTGCTTGAGGCGTGTGTGTGGGATCGCCGTCTTCATTCATTGCTATCTTCTTATTATACAGATAGTGATCCCAAAGGCATCAACCCGAAGCAATCTACAGTGCCAGATATTGAACCTATTAGCCACAAAGAGCAACAAGTAAAGTGCAGCGTTGAAGGAGATACTAATTATGAGGCAGTAGCTAATCTGGGAAGAGGTGACATAACTTTGGACGATTCTCATGATCTGAATATAGAGTTCACTGAGGATTCTTCTGCAGAGGAAAACAATGGGACAGAAACCATTGAAGAAAGTTGTGAATTTCTGAACCATAATTGTGATCTGAAATTGAACCTGGTATCTGCCGAAGCAAATGGTTCTCTCATTGCGGAAATTCCTATTGATGCTAATCTTAGTGGATTTAGAGAAGAAAGCGCATCATCAATTTCATCTGCTTTTGCTGAAGTTACTGAGTTATCTACTGCAGCAAAAATAACTGCAAATGGATTATCCGTCGAGGATCCTGCAGTGAAATCTAATTGTTCACATTCTGGTGACGAAAATAATCTACAATCGAATCTTCCTTCACCCACTCTTCTGCAGTCGGATAAACTAAGTCTTTCTAGTGTTGATGGGAGGACTGGCAGAGATTCTATGGATCCTCAATTGGACAATATTGAGAATGATAAAGGGTGGTGGGCTCCATTCCCTGAAATTCGGCGTGAATACATGAAGGATCTGCAAAGAGGTTACCCCCCAAAATTAGGACCCATCACAACCCATGCGGTAGAAACTACAGCTTACAAACTTGTTACTGATGAGGGTGCAAAGTTGCACATTCCCATTGGAAGTGAGAAGTACGTTTTGTCTGATTATGAAGATGAAGTTTCAAGCATCATCGCTTGTGCTTTAGCAAGGCTGAAGGATTTGCCAATTGTGTGTGAAGATCTTGGTGATGATGGAAGGAAAGATGGAGGAATGGATGGTAATGCATATGAGAGTTCGAAAAGCTTAATGCGATTATTCTCACTGACTTCTCCTCATTTCTCCTCAACTGGTTCTTTAGATTTAGAGGGGATTCAGTCTTCCCAAGTTTCAGAACAAACACGCTCATCTAGTTTAGATGGGTTAGATATGTTAAATTCTGCTGCTGTTCATCCTGAAATCTCCTTTGGTTCGGGAAAATTGCCTGGGAAGCGTAAATACTCAGTTATGTGTCTCTATGCTAGCCATTTTTCTCGTTTGCGAGGTCGATGTTGCCCATCTGAAGTTGATTATATTGCTTCTCTAAGTAGGTGTAGGAAGTGGGATGCGAAAGGTGGGAAAAGTAAATCCTTGTTTGCCAAAACTCTCGATGACCGGTTCATCATCAAAGAAATCTTGAGAGCAGAATTTGACTCGTTCTTGAAGTTTGGTCATAGTTATTTTGAGTACATGGAACAGTGCTACGAGAAGGGCAATCAAACCTGCCTTGCAAAAGTTCTTGGAATTTATCAGGTTTGTTAATCAGCTACAAATTTCATTTTCTGGCTATTAGAACAGTACAAATGCTCCTGTTGGATTTTTGTCTCAGTTTTTGTGTTTTGCAGGTCATTGTAAGGCCAACAAAAAGTGGGAAAGAGACAAGACATGATCTCATGGTGATGGAGAACCTTTCATTTGGAAGAAATATTACTAGGCAATATGATCTAAAAGGAGCTCTGCATGCTCGATTTAATTCAGCTGGCGATACTGCAGGAGATGTTCTTTTGGACCAAAATTTTGTGAATGACATGAACATCTCTCCTTTATATGTTGGAACGAGATCAAAGAGGAATTTGCAACGAGCCGTATGGAATGACTGTGGCTTCCTCAATGTAAGTTTTGCATGACATCCTACTAATAAATACCTGTAGCTCATATTTACCAAATCATAATTGTGCTAAAAGGCATGTGACTTCTGCTTATGATAAACAATGTGTCCTTGCAATTCTATGGTTTAGCGTCTAAACTGGTATCATTTTCTGAATAACAGTCGGTCAATGTGATGGACTATTCTTTACTTGTTGGAGTGGATACTGAGCGCCGCGAACTTGTTTGTGGCATCATTGACTACCTCAGGCAGTACACATGGGACAAACAACTTGAGAACTGGGTCAAATCCTCGCTTGTGGTTCCCAAGAATCAGCTTCCTACTGTCATCTCCCCAAGGGAGTATAAAAAGAGATTTAGAAAGTTTATCGACACACATTTCCTAAGTGTTCCGGAAAATTGGTGCTCCCAAAGACCTTCAAATCTTTCCATACGTTGTGGCATAGCTGGTAGTAATGAAGATGCTAAGTCTAAATTTCAAGAGGAGCACAACAGACATGAGCACCAATCAACTGCTCATGGAAACCAAAACGATACTATTACCTGATTTCTATTGTTTTTTTTCTTCTTTTTGGTGGTTTCATTTCCTTACCATAGTAGCTACATATTATCCAGCCATTAATTTCTGTACATAGCTGCTAGGATGCTCGTTGTCCTAGCACCTAGGTATATATTATACATATATATGCCCCCCTTCTCATTTCTGCGGTTTTTATAGCAAGTTTATGGGGATGGTTTCATTATTGATTCTTTTAAGGTCATTTTAGGTTGAATATAGCAAGTCTGCTGAGTAATTGTAAAAAAAAGGCATCCCTTGGACTTTACATGATATGAATATTTTGCAATGCTCTAGGATTATTCCTTCAAATATTTTGCTTATTTATCTGTATTCTGTGTGTCTGTTTGTGCATGTGTTATTTTGGTATGGGCATTAGCGACAAAGATCAAATAACAAACATAGGAAAGCCAAAGCAATGATTTTAAAAGCACTTTGTGGTTACTGAAGAAACCTATATATATATATATATATATATATAATATATATATATATAATATATATGTGTGTGTGTGTATGTATTTACACGCACACGCATATACATGCACACATACATAGAAAAGCCTCTAAATTTTGAAGAAAGAAAACAAAAGGAATACCTCTCTAGTGTCTAGTGTATGGCTTGGTGGAGATGATGAAATCAAGCATTTCTCTTTTGTTTCCCATTTTATGCAAAGATGCGTACCTCTCTTTGTAGGAAATTGATGTTTTCTTTCTTCATAGAAAGAAAGCTCCCTTTTTTCTGTGTAATATCGGAAGTTAAGTTAATACATGGACAGGAGAAGATGATGCCCATATATCCGTTGAAAACAAAGGAATTGGATTCTCTTGTTCTTACCTCAATTTCAATAGTAGCACAAATTTCTGATTAACAGCAATTTCTCTTTTACTTATGGGATCACGTTTCAATTTTCACGGATTTCCTATTTTTCAGATTAGTCTCCATTCTTGGCCAACTACTTTATATATTTGCAAAAACATTTCTTTTTTACTTTCTCTCCTTCTTGATGTAACTTTGACCTTTTTTCTTTTGTTTTCTTTTTCCCAGAAATGTAAACGTTGTTGCTATGTCTGGCGGTTTAGCTTGACCGATCATTTACAAAAGATAGAGAAAGAAACTACATATTATTTGGTACGGAGTTTATATCTGTAATTTCACCTTTGCATATAAGATAAACTGCTACATCAATAAAAGTTACTTCATTATATAAAAGAAATCTCCAGTCACGTTTTGCTTTTAATTTTCTTCCTTTCTCATGACTTTTACAAGAGTCTGGGACTGTGGTCATAGAAAACCACACGAGTTTTTCTTTTCCTTTTGGTATTGGCGTGAGCTAAATTTAAACGAGAAATATGGTCGGTGAGAATTCATATAGCCAACCACAACTTGTTTGGGATGCAGTTATTTAGGATAACAGAAAATATCCCAAAAAAAAAAAAAAAAAAACTATTGCACAGCAGCTTTCCATGTGAATCAATGGATTATAACAGACATTTAAACAATACACATGAGTCAAGAGAAATTCTTTGCTTGATTGATTACAAATACTCAACACATTTTATCACAAATACTCAACTTGAAGAAAATGTTTTGGAAAAACTATCATCTTTAATGTAAATGTGATTCCCCCTTTTTTGGGCTAAAGACTCGTATGAAAAAAGAACTTGCAGGAACTATGTAATCTAGACAAGTTCATGAATTATGTATGATGTATATAGTACTTTTACCTTTTGAAGAAAACAAAAATGAAATTAAAAAAAAAAAAATTTATCAAGTACAATGGCAACGAAGAGGAACTGAGATACCGGGAGGTTTCCTCTTCTCGCGGATAACAGCTTCTTTAATAATGGGCAGTTTTTGGTGAACCTTTCTCCATATGTAATTTATAGCACCATTTGGATGTATAGGACCGATACCACCCAGTTGACCATTTTCATACTCGAAAATGGGCTGCACCTGAGCCATTTTATGCCGAAACCTATCCTTTTGCTCGTCAGAGTAGCTCCTAAGATGGTTCACGAGCCAACTTGGCTGAAGTGCATCACTAACTGCTACAAACAGCGAAAATTCTGAATAATCCACCATCCCTTCAAATGGGAGCTCAATGTTGTCACTAACAATGACGGGAATACAAAGACTTTGAATGGCATCAAAAAGCCGACACGAGGTTGGTGTGTCCCCTGCCGGGTGCAAGCAGAACTCTGAAGTCCTCATACCCTTTATAGACTGCTCCTTCCCAGTGGCATTTGGAAAGCCTTCCTCCATCACTACCCCGGGTTCATTTATTAGCAAGTCCCAAAGCTTTTCTCGAACGATGCCTCCCTGCACACAAAAAAATTACTTAATGACCTAAAACTAGGGAGCAAGAAGAGGGATGTTATCGTCTAATATAGGCACTTGTTGACAGATGGAAAAGCCTATACAGCGTTGCATGTCTGGCCAAGCACAGCACGCACACAACAGAATTGTGTAAGTCTTTTTTATGCATCACCCTAACAATAATTTTTCCAATCAATTAGTACTTAATTGTACTCAGAAAAGTTTCTGGAAACAGAGCAAGTTCATTTATAGTAGGCCAAAATCTGATGATAGAATAGTCTATACCGTCTGCATTGTGATCAAAAGGAGTTCCAGTCATATCTTGTGAAGAAGCTCACAAGTAAAATAGATCATTTACCTAGTATGATTGCAAGCAGACTATAGTCATATGGACGTCCGGGAGAACTCAATAATACTACCCAATGCATATATTTATTTCCCCTGAAGCAAAGAAGGGTTTTTTTTTTGTCTGTAATATAAGGTCAAAGAGGCAGTAAATAGCTACACGGCACAACGACATCTTTAAGTGACCAAACTTTTGCATGATTATTTATTAATAGACTAAGAAACAGCATCATGGTATAATTCAAACACCTTGTTTTTCTTTTTCTTTATTTCCCTTTCTTTTTGATAACGGTAGAATCTAGATCAGTTTGTGCACACCTCGATTATTCTACCTGCTACCTCCCACCACGGCTTAAGCAAATGCGAAGAAATCATCTTGTGTTTTTTGTCTCTACTGGAATTTGAACCTTCGTCTTCCATGATTTTCACCTACTTTGTTGACTATTAGGTCATACCCTTGGGTTCAAACAACCTGTCTTCTACAGGGCATTGGTATAATTCAAGCTCCTAGTTTTCTCCCAAGCTTTAAAAATGTTCCCTTGGTGAAGTCATTTCATTCCCCAAAGTTTGAAATCCAAAGTTTTCAAGGCATTTAAATTAGATATAACATTATTCATAAAATAGTTGACTTGACTTGCAAATAAAAATAGAACGTACACAGGCAATACTGTTAGAAGCAGGTAGCAGATTATATTTAGCTAGAGTTCTGGAAAAAGTTAATAATACTGACCCGATGCCTATGTTTAGCTCCTTTGAAATAGAGAAGGGTTTCTCGTTTCTTGTTTTCAGATAAGGGCAAACGAGGAAGTAGATGCGTATAAGGCACGATTACATCCTTCAGCAACGAAACTTGGGTGTGATGTATCATGTCAGATGAACTCTCATTAGACGCTTTCGAGTCAAGCTTGTACCACCCACCAAAATCTACCACCAGAAGAACTGCTGGAGCAACCTCAGCCTTCACATGCCACATTGCAACAGGGTCTGCCAAAGAATGCTTCAAGTTGTAAAATAACCTGACATTGCAGAGACTAAATTATAAGATGCTAGGATGTTCCACTTCCCTCTTCTTCTTTTTTCAGGCAGAACATAATTAGGAAAGAACAACTACACAGTCAATAGGAAAGCAGGCTGGCGAGACATTTTACAAATTGGAACTCGGGATTATTTGCTACTTTTAGTTCAGACATGAATATGATAAACAGATAAAGCAACTGAATAAAACAGCATACCGTGTCATATTCAAGGTGGAGCAGAGGATCAGGCGATGAAAAATGTGTGCGGTGTAATTTATTTGATCACAACTGCATTGGACTAAATAATATGGGTGGAAAAGGGAAGGAGACTATTTTAAGTGAAATAGCAAGATGCAGCTCACTCAACAAAATACCATCAAAATATTAGTGCACTTCACCAGATACATGTCATGAAGAATTAACTCAGATGCAACTGAAGAATCTCCCTTAGGAGCATTGCTCAATTATGCAAAAAGTAAGCAGGGCAATATTTTCTCTACCTAAGTCAATACATCACTTTTCACAGCCCTACCAAATCCCTGTGCCCCGAAGAAGGTCTCCAAGCAGTCCAACTCAGTCCTGCTTATTATGTTTGCTTCAAAAGATTCAAGCATAAGCACTTTCAGTATGTACATATTTGACAAATCAAAGAATTGTTACTGAATCTAATTAAACTCTTTTATGCTCGTAGTTACTACTTGGCATATATTTTGTAAGTCAGCAGCTTCCCAATAAAATTAAGAAACCAAAACCTAAAATCAAACAGCTCGCTTAAACCACAAGCTTCTGGTGATGTAGACTGGTAAAAAATGCAGGCTCTGTTATAATCAGAAGTGCCCCTATCAGGATGATTTTATACAACATTCTAAGTTGTTTTCCAAGATACCAGAGTCCAAGTTGGAACCGGCAAGCATAAGAACTCAGTAACTTTTAGCATTCTTTTTCAGTGACCGTTTGATAAGATAGTAGCACGAGTAAATCTAGAACACACAATTACATGCAAATAGTGCACAACAGCCAACATTTGTTTCTTTTTGAGAGCCATGAGGTCTCAGGCTCAATTCCCAGCGGAGGCAAAAACACTAGGCGAATTATTCTCTTCTGTCAAAGCCTTGGTGGATAGAGTCGGTAATTGTGTTAGTGGGAGATAGCAAGTAACCCGTGGAATAGTCGAGGTGTGCGCAAGCTGGTCCAGACACCACGATTATTGAAATAAAACCAAAGTAAGTATTATGTGAGAATCTATGGATTAAATCTCACGGCATCAGCCTGACACGTCTATCAATTGAAGCTAAGCTAAAGCCTAAAAGTCCAAGCACAACATAAATCAGATTGATGATTGTTGCAGTTCAGTTGAAGCTGAGCTGCATCCTGAAAGACTAAGCACGATATTCACCTATTTCTTGCTATTTTGAAGAGCATTTACAAAAGAATATCAAGAAAACCTAACTGGCTCAGTTCCTTCTTTTATTTCAGAAAAAAAAAACACATGACTTCATATGCAGATTACTTGCACACTTCGGAAGTTACTAAAACCAAAATTTAGCACATATAGAAGAATGGAACCTCTCTAAACAAATGGTTACCCTAACTGTAAAAAGATCAAATTCTATTGAAAAAAGCACTGGTGGCA